AAGAGAGAGAGTGGTACAGAGAGAGAAAGAGAGAGAGAGAGGGGTACAGAGAGAAGGAGGCTAAGCAAGGGACAGGGGAGGCAAGGGAAAGGACGTGAAGGCATAAAGTAGGTGTTTTGTACCTTACATGCTAGAGCGCTCTCTTAATTATAAACACTGTTATACTGATCAAAGCTTATTAGGAAAGTCTATTCAGAGATATCCCCTAACCATTTTAAATGTATATTCATCACAAATTATAACTCCTCTGGTGAGATATTGCGCATGCACTAACACACTAACGTAGCCAGATTGTGTGCTGGCTGGTATACGCAGCGAAGACCTTACATGCAAGGTCTTCCTCCTATTTATTAAATGATGTCTACTGATGGAATTTTATCATATAAATCTATGCTAGAATAACTCCTCTTAATTTTAAATGCATAGACTTTGCAAAATACGATTTCTCCCGGGAGATATTGCGCATACGCGTGCATCGTGTTAGGCGTGCAGTGCCGTCTGAGGAAAACTTTATAATATAGCTTGCTGCGGAGAAGAGGGGATTGGAGACGGAGAAAATGCAGCAGGGAAGATAGTTGAGGGCGGTAGAAGAAGAAGGAGGCTAAGCAAGGGACAGGGGAGGCAAGGGAAAGGACGTGAAGGCATAAAGTAGGTGTTTTGTACCTTACATGCTAGAGCGCTCTCTTAATTATAAACACTGGTCTACTGATAAAAGTTTATTAGGAAAGTCTATTCAGAGATATCCCCTAACCATTTTAAATGTATATTCATCACAAATTATAACTCCTCTGGTGAGATATTGCGCATGCGCTAACACACTAACGTAACCAGATTGTGTACTGGCTGGTATACGCAGCGAGGACCTTACATGCAAGGTCTTCCTCCAATTTTTTAAATGATGTCTACTGATGGAATGTTATCATATAAACCTATGCTAGAATAACTCCTCTTCATTTTAAATGCATAATCTTTGTAAAATACGATTTCTCTCGGGAGATATTATTGGATGTTACCGTCGGCAGTACGAAAAAGATGGCGCTCTGCAATTCGCAAATTCGCAGGCGGTCGCCGAATTTTACCACGTTTTCCTATTGTCGGATAGAAGTGGTTTGAATGCATAATTTCGCCTCATGCTCTATATTTTTGGCGCAAACGGGCATGCGCAAATCCGATATTTTTCCTTGCGAAATTGAGAAATTATTCGAAATGTGTTATATAATCAAAACGCACAAACGGATCGAGTTTACTGGATGTCCAAGAGTTGCCAACGGAAGGAGTATTTCGCTGAATTTGTGCAATTTTTATAAAGAGCTCGTCGCCAGAACTAGGTGCATGCGATAAAAAAAATTCGCTAGCGTCTCAGCCCGTCGCAAAGGCGACGTCGGAAAGAGGGGGTATATACGTTTATATTATGTGCATATCGCCGTCGGTCGTACGAAAAAGATGGCGCTCTGCAATTCGCAAATACGCAGGCGGTCGCCGAATTTTACCATGTTTTCCTATTGGCGGATAGCCCGAAAATGGTTTGAATGCATAATTTCGCTTGATGCTCTAGATTTCTGGCGTAACGGGCATGTGCAAATCCGATATTTCCCTTTGTGAAACTGCGAGATTATTTGAAATGTGTATATATATGCGCACTCACTTGATGTTCTTGAGCAGCGGCAGTAAGCACATCCAGAACTGCTCGAGCAGCTGCGGGAATCCGCCCAGCAGCATGCCCTGCAGTTGCGGAGCGATGCGCCTTAGCAGCTTCAGCAGCACGTCTTCGCTGAGGTTCTCACAGTGACTGACGTCGATCGCCGATAGGTGGCGCAAGTCGGCGCGCTCGAGGATCTGTTCTACGACCTGAAGTGAATGTACGTCATCGGTCACGTGCGTCGCTTCAGGGCGTGGAATGAGATCGTTGCATAATTTAGTTAAACCGTAGTGGCGTCAAAACGGGGAGAGATGATAACACGGGTTGTGCGTCAACGCGATATAAAAATCCGTGATGATCGAAGCACCGGATATACTCTGTCTGCGTGCCTCTAATCTCTAAGTTACAGCAAATAGCTTAGTATATGTACGTCCCCGCGTGTGGCAAGATGCTCTCCTGTGCTTGCAATAGTACATATAGTAGATTAGTACATTAGTAGAGAATGTTTTCAGGTACAGTGGATATCAAGTTTAAAAATATTACTTTGGGGAAGTGAATGAATTTCCAATCATTTCCTCGCACTTACACCACACAAGAGAGTTTAGTTTTGTGTTTGATGCAACAGTGAGCACGAGAAGAAAATACCTTTTGCTGGTTTTACATCAGACAACTCATGTGCCAGATTTCAGCACATATACATAGTATAGTAACACTAATGAGTTTTATTATTAGTGGTAATTCGAGTATAATAGAACGTTGAATTACCGAACTATTCATGCCGTCAACATGTGCAGCAGCAAACCATACGATCCCCGGGACTCGAGTTAACATGTCTGTCAAGGCTTCCGCTGACAGCAGCGTCGACGATACATCCACATTCTCTATGGCCGTCTTCGCCCAATCCACGTTCATCAGGTACTCGTCCTGTAAGTCTGCAAGACCACCGAATCAATATCGAAGACCACCGAATCAATATCATTTTGTCGGATTCATGATGGCAGTAAGCGTCTGAAGGCGGAAACAACGCCAACAATCTCATTTAACAGTCTATCCTGTCGTGGATCGCGTGGTAGTTGAACCCTTAATTGCGTAGTACGGCTTAAAATATTAGATGTTTTATAGACATGACAGGAAAGACTAAGCAAATATAACTAACCCTGTGTGGGTGAATATTTGGTATGTTTTTGCGAACCTAAGGTTTTTATACTAATATTGCAACGATCGTATATATGGTATGCGTAATTTAGATTCGTTTTGTCGAGAGGTTTTCCTGACGACTATTCATAAAATTTCTGATGAACCAAAAAAGCATTTACGGCTATCATAGCGATGGGTGTTTAACGAAGTTACTAATCTATGAAAAAAACCTAAATGTTTAGATATTATACTTGTATACATCCTCACAATCAACGCTCAATCAACACAAAATCTCCCTTTATTGCCGTCGACGTGCTTTAGTACAACTATTATTATATATATTATATTACTATATATATATATATTATATATTATGATATATTATGATTATTATTATTATATGGTGGAGCAACACGGCTATAAGCACCTGTATGCTGCATTAGCAGTGTTCTCAGCTTTCTGCATCGCTGCAGCAGCGTCTTCAGGGAAGAACCTTTGAACTTCAGACAGAAGTTGACGGCCAAGCCCTCCAGGTGGATGCAGTTGCTCGAGATGGACTCGACGTGGCTGTCGTCGACAAAGCTCACTCCGTACATGTTTACCATGCGCAAGTTGGGTATGTAGCTTTTCAATTTGTGGATGTTGATGACCTCGTATATCTCCTCCTCCTGATCAATTCTCTCGTAGGTGCCTATCGACGAATGACGAATGTGTATTGCGGGGGTGACGTAAAGGGCGGGAGGCGGGTTTATCCCTTATCCCGCTAGCAGGATTAGCACGATATCAGGGATAAAATCAGCAACTCGTCGGGGAAGAATCGATGAAAATAATTTGCCGTTGCTCTTTATCAGCAGCGCGGCGCTAGTCACAATAACATAATATTACAGAGGTCAGCAGGATGGATGGCTGATTTATCTATACATCTGAAATATTGTAATTTGTTATATGGATGCGAAAATGCCGAATTGAAACTGATGCAGAGCATGCCATGCGTCAAGGAATAAAATACAACGTTGACCACCAATGTTAAATAAAATGGCAGATACGTTGAATGTCAAAAGCATGTACACGCGTCCATCTGCGTACACCTAACCGTGCACGTACACACTTCCAAGCAGTTACACACGCATGCGTTCACATGATAAATGATGCACGAATGTCATATTGAATAGTGATGATGATAATAATTTGCTTCAACCAGCTATGGATATTAAAGCTATTGATATTTTTCTAGGAATAGATTCAAGAATTGTTCAAGTGTAGTTCTTGTTTATTCTTTATGGTGTTTCGTCGTAGTGATAGTTATGTGAAGTTTAGATTGCGGCTTACCTACAAGATGCATAACCTCGAGCAGGGCAACAAATCCGTAGATCTTTCTCATGAAACCTTCCATGAAGATCACCTCGGATAGGCAAATCGTCATGTGCGTCAGATGCTGGGGGAACTCTCTAAGCTCGTTGAAATCGTGAAGCTGGCATAGGTAAATCAGCGTCAGATATATACCTCGGAATATTATATGCCTAAATATTTAAAGTGCCATCTGTATTCCTATCGTAAAGCGGAGCGAGATATACCTACTTGTTCGTGCGAGCGTTTTCTCATTGAAATTTAAAAATTATACAGAGATGCAATAGTGAAAGGTAAACACAAACAGGTAAAGAAACAGTTGTTTGCCCGCGCAGTAGAGTAAATAGTGTGCCTCATTGGTTTGTTGGCAATAACGTCTACTTATTGTTGATCACTTGTGTGCGAAATACCTGGTTAGCACATTCATGTTGAGTTAAATAATTGTCATCTTGCAAAACGTATTCACAGCGTTTTCACCACACCTATATGATTTATAAAACCTCTAGAGGTTTGATCAGATGGAAATCATTGGATCAAATTGGATCTCATGTTCGAATGAAAAGTGTGTATAAATATAAACCACTAAAGTCATTTATTTGAGTTACATTGTCGCCACTCAGCCAGTCATCATTTGTTTTTTTTGTTTTTTGTATACAGTACGTACATCTTCCACATACTCCACCCTAATGGCGTCCGTATAGATTTAGGTTCGTGTAAACATAGGGCGACATGGATGCACCGCTACAGGATTGTGGCGCCCACCTGCATGGCTGTGGAGAAGTCCAGCGTGAGGTTGTGCAGGTTGGGGCACTTGGTGGCTAGTTCGTGCAGCACGGCGGGCGTGATCAGCTCCATCGGTAGCTCTATGTAGCGTAGCAGCGGCCCGAAACGCACGCTAATCAACGTCAGCAGCGCCTCTAGACTCAAAACCTGCACGCCGTGAGGGAAGGCGGCAGGAAAGATAGCTGGGGGCGGTAGAAGAAAAAGGAGGCTGAGCGAGGGACAGGGAATGCAAGGGGAAGGACGCGAAGGCATAAAGTAGGTTTTTGTACCCTACATGCTAGGGCGCTCTCCTAATTATAATCGCAGGTCTACTGATAAAAATTCATTAAAGAAATCTATGCTGAGATATCCCCTAACAATTTTAAATGTATATTCATCACAAAATATAACTCCCCTGGTGAGATATTGCGCATGCACTAACACACTAACGATGCCAGATTGTGTACTGGCTGGTATACGCAGCAAAGACTTTACATGCAAGGTCTTCCTCCTAGTTATTAAATGATGTGCACTGATGGAATGTTAATATATAAATTTATGCTATGATAATTCCTCTTTATATTAAATGCATAATCTTTCCAAAATACGATTTCTCTTGGGAGATATGGCGTATGCGCGCGCACCGTGTTAGGCGTGCAGTGCCGTCTGAGGCAAACTTCAAAATATAGCTTGCTAAGGGAGAGAGAAGATTAAAGACTGAGAAAAGGCGGCATGGAAGATAACTGGGGGCAGTAGAAGAATAAGGAGGCTAAGCGAGAGACAAACGAGGCAAGGGGTAGGACGCGAAGGCATAAAGTAGGTATTTTGTACCCTACGTGGTAGGGCGGTCTCCTAATTATAAACACAGGTCTACTGATAAAAGTTTATTAGGGAAATCTATGCTGAGATATCCCCTAATCATTTTACATGTATATTCATCACAAATTATGACGCCTCTGGTGAGATATTGCGCATGCACTAACACACTAACGTTGCCAGATTGTGTACTGGCTGGTATGCGCAGCGAAGACTTTACATGCAAGGTCTTCCTCCTATTTATTAAATAATGTCTACTGATGGAATGTTATCATATAAATCTATGCTATGATAACTCCTTAGCAAGACAGCAGCATGTTAGTTAAAGATGAGGTCCTTGTAGCAGGGCAGTAGCCTGTTAGTTAAAGATGAGGTCCTTGTAGCAAGACAGCAGCCTGTTAGTTAAAGATGAGATCCTTGTAGCAAGGCAGCAGCCTGTTAGTTAAAGATGATGTCCTTGTAGCAGGGCAGCAGGCGGTTAGTTATAGATGAGGTCCTTGTAGCAAGGCAGCAGACGGTTAGTTAAAGATGAGGTCCTTGTAGCAAGGCAGCAGATGCACGATGCTCGTCGCGCAGTTGGTCGTCATACGCACGACGGTGCCGCGGTCGGCGCGCTCAAAGTTCGACTTCACCATCTCGTAGTACGGTCCGTCGCTGAGCACGAGTGAGCGCAGCTTCGTGCAGCGCAGCCGCAGCAGGTCGATGAACTTGGAGCTTTTGTCGCTGAATCGCATCGTCTGCGGATCCCACTTGATCTCGCATCGCTCCAGCTGCTGGCAGTGGTTCGAGATGGCGTCGAGAAACTGGTCGATGTGAACCTTTGTCTGTATCTTGCTGCAGCAGCCTTCTGTCATGCCCATCATCATGATCCTACAGGGAAGGGGGTGATAAGTGTTGGCGACAAAACTACAAGTCATCAAGATGTTGACAAGATTGGGCCCCGTCCTATTATGTGAGGGATGGCATGCGTTTCATATTTTGTTTTATAGAAACATATTCATGAATATGTCCTCTCCTCTTTGTATAAATAATTTCCAGAGAAAAGTGACTTCTGTCAGCAGATAAGGAACACGCGCACAGACATGTCTGACATCTTCCTATCACGTATATAGTTCCTTTAATTTGCGCCATGGCGTATAGAAACGATATAGCGATATAGTACGACGGAAATATGTTAACTAGCTGGAATTAATAGTCGATACAACCTGAGAAATTCCCCGTGGCAGCATAACCTTCCAATATCGTTCAGTTTAGTCGTATTGTTACAATTTCACTGGCGGAGCGTCACAGCCCCCCCCCCCCGCACACACGTACGTGTATACGATAATTAAGGTTCATTTGACTAGCCGCGCATATATATATACCGCGCATATCGCCGTCGGCAGTACGAAAAAGATGGCGCTCTGCAATTCGCAAATACGCAGGCGGTCGCCGAATTTTACCATGTTTTCTTATATAGGGGGATAGCCCGAAAATAGTTTGAATGCATAATTTCGCCTCATGCTCTATATTTTCGGCGTGAACGGGCATGCGCAAATCCGATATTTCCCCTGGTGAAACTGGGAAATTATTCGAAATGTGTATATATCCAAAACGCACAAACGGATCGAGTTTACTGGATGCCCTAGAGTTGCCGACAGAAGCAGAATTTTGCTGAATTTCTGCAATTTTCCTAGAGAGCAAGTCCCCAGCACTAGGTGCATGCGATAAAAATTTCGCTAGCGTCTCACCCCGTCGTAGATGCGACGTCAGAAAGAGGTGGTGTACGTATATATTATGTGCTTATCGACCTCGGCAGTACGAAAAAGATGACACTCTGCAATTCGCAAATACGCAGGCGGTCGCCGAATTCTACCATGTTTTCCTATAGGCGGATTATGCATTATTTCGCAGACGACAGATATCCACATCCAAGTGTGGCTTTAGGCCACTTCGTCCCCCGCCGGTTGCCTCCAGCCCCCGTCAGCTCACTCCGACAATAACCCTTCCGTGACGAAAATAGTTTTGTTTGTTTACGTATTTTAGTAATGCTAAAACAAGTTACCATGGCATATGCTGATTGTATTACCCATAGGCATAGATATAGCATTAAATAGGAAAAAACAAGACAAGCGCCAGTGCAGCACTCGGTAAGTTATTAGTAGCACGTTATAGTGTTGCCAGCGTTATATTTGTATGACGGGGGCCTAAGGCCACCTATATAGAATTGTAATAGTAGTGTATGATGGGGCCCAAGGCCACATATATAGTATAGTATATGACGGTGGCCTAAAGCCTCCTACATAGAATTGTAATAATAGTGTATGCTGGGGGCCCAAGGCCACATATATAGTATAGTATATGACGGTGGCCTAAAGCCTCCTACATAGAATTGTAATAATAGTGTATGCTGGGGGCCCAAGGCCACATATATAGTGTATGTATGTATGTATGTATGTGTGCTGTGTGTGTGTGTGTGTGTGTGTGTGTGTGTGTGTGTGTGTGTGTGTGTGTATGTATGTGTGTGGTGTGCGTGGTGTGTGTGTGTGTGCGTGTGTGTGCGTGTGTACGCGCGTGGTGTGTGCGCGTGCGTGTGCGGCTGTACGCGCGTGCGTGTGTGCGTGCGTGTGCTATGAGTGTGCGTGTGTGTGCTGTGCGCGCGCGTGTGTGTGTGTGTGTGTTGTGTGGTGTGTGTGTGTGTGTGTGGTGTGTGTGCGTGTGCCGTGTGAGTGTGTGCGTGCGTGTGCGTGTGCCTGTGCGTGTGTGAGTGCGAGTGCAAGTGCAAGTGCGTGTGCGTGTGCATGTGTGTGTGTGTGTGTGTGTGTGTTGTGTGTGTGGTGGTGTGTGTATGTGTATGTTGTGTTGCGTGCGTGCGTGCGTGCGTGTGTGGTGTTGTTGTGTGTGTGTGTGGTGTGTGTGTGGTGTGTGTGTGGTGTGTGTGTGTGTGTGTGTGTGTGTGTGTGTTGTGTGTGTGTGTAAGCCTATATTGAACTGTGACTTCGGCGTGCAGGTTTTGAGTCTAGAGGCGCTGCCTGACGTTGATTAGCGTGCGTTTCGGCCGCTGCTACGCTACATAGAGCTACCGCGAGAGCTGATCACGCCCGCCGTGCTGCACGAACTAGCCACAAGTGCCCCACCTGCCACAACCTCACGCTGGACTTCTCCACAGCCATGACAGGGCGCCAGCAATCCTGTAGCGGTGCATCATGTCGCCCTATGTTTACACGAACCTAAATCTATACGGACGCCATTAGGGTGGAGTATGTGGAAGATTACGTACTGTATACAAAAAAAAAAAACAAATGATGACTGCTGAGTGGCGACAATGTAACTCAAATAAATGACTTTAGTGGTTTATATTTATACACACTTTTCATTCGAACATGAGATCCAATTTGATCCAATGATTTCCATCTGATCAACTCTCTAGAGGTTTTATAATCATATAGTGTGGTGAAAACGCTGTGAATACGTTTTGCAAGATGACAATTATTTAACTCAACATGAATGTGCTAACCGAGGTATTTCGCACACAAGTGATCAACAATAAGTAGACGTTATTGCCAACAAACCAATGAGCACACTATTACTCTACTTGCGCGGCAAACACTGTTTCTTTACCTGTTTGTGTTTACCTTCACTATTGCATCTCCGTATATTTTAAATTCAATGAGAAAACGCTCGCACGAACAAGTAGGTATATTCTCGCTCCGCTTTAGCGATAGGAATACAGATGCCACTTATAAATATTTAGGCATATAATATTCCGAGGTATATATCTGACGCTGATTTACCTATGCCACTTCACGATTTCAACGAGCTTAGAGAGTTCCCCAGCATCTGACGCACATGACGATTTGCCTATCGCGAGGTGATCTCATGGAAGGTTTCATGAGAAATGATCTACGGATTTGTTGCCCTGCTCGAGGTTATGCATCTTGTAGGTAAGCCGCAATCTAAACTTCACATAACTATCACTACGACGAAACACCATAAAGAATAAACAAGAACTACACTTGAACAATTCTTGATCTATCTAGAAAAATATCAATAGTTTAATATCCATAAGCTGGTTGAAGCAAATTATTATCATCATCACTATTCATATGACATTCGTGCCATCATTTATCATGTGAACGCAGCGTGTGTAACTCTGCTGGAAGTGGTACGTGCACGGTTAGGTGTACGCAGATGGACGCGTGTAGCATGCTTTTGACATTCAACGTATCGTGCATTTTCTTACATTGGTGGTCAACGTTGTATTTTATTCCTTGACGCATGGATGCTCTGCATCAGTTTCAATTCGGCATTTCGCATCCATATAACAAATTACAATATTTCAGATGTATAGGATAAATCAGCTCATCATCTGC